TCTGGGACCAGCATGCGAACTCCAGGTCTTTCGGGAGGTCCGGACCTCTGGAAGATTTTGAACATCCACAAAAGTAGTCAATTCGCGTAAAATCCTAGTTTTATTTGGACTTCCCTGAGGTTTTGAATCTTTCCTGAAGTTCATTAATTTTTCTATTGTTCCGGAAATTTTAATCATATTTATAAAATTATCTGAAGACCTCGCATTGTTTCTGAAGCATCGCAAAATTCATGAAATTATTGAAATATCCCATAATTCCTTTGAATTCCTTGAACTATCCTGCAATTTTCCTTAAATAAATGAAACTGATATGAAGATCTCTAATCATCTACGAAGTTCCGGGAACTTCCCAAAATATAATGAAACTACTAAAAAATCTATATACTTCTCTGAGGTCTCTAGACGTTCTTGAAGATTTCGGAACATTTTAAAAGATCTCGCGATTTTCTTGAACATAATCTGATCGTCGCTGAAGTTCCTGCATTTTTTTTTGCAGTTCTTTAAACTGCATTGAATACCATGGAACTTCCTTAAAATGATCTCACAGTTTCCTGATGCTAAGATCTCTTATGTTTCTGAAATTTAAAAAAAGGTCTTGGTACTTTTATGAAGTTTTGGAAATTCCCTGAGTTTCTTGGAATTTCCATGATATTAGTTTATTTATTTATTTATTTTTTCCTGCAGTACTCTCAATTAACCACTTCATTCGAGCACTTAAAATGACGTTTACTACCACTCGAACTTTGAAATAAAACATTATTTTGATATTTTTTCTTCTAGAACCTCGAGAAATGTAGCCAACATTTGTGCGTTTAAAAAAAAATAGAAATTAGTTGGTCCAGTTTTGTGAAATTGCTGGTAGAAAGTCACGCCAAAACTGCTTGACAAAGTGATCAATTCTATTGAAGTTCTTGGTACTACCCTGAACTAAATAAAACTGTAAAAAAAATTCTCGAAGTTTTTCTGAATTTTATTAAATTGACCGGAAAGTCTGGAATTTCAAAAATTTCTCGATGTTATGAAGTTATTGGAAGTGCCATTAATATCTCTGAAATTCCGTAAAGCTCTCTAGTTTAACTTCTTTGAGGTACTGGGAAGTTCTTTAAATGTGAATTGTCCTCAAGTTATCTCCACATCTGTGAAATTATTTTGACTTCCCTAAGGTTCTCTGTATATCCCTGATTTTCTCAAACTTTCTTAAAAGTTCCTGCAGTTTCCTGAAGCTGTTGGAACGACTTTAAAAATCCTGAAGTTTGCCTGGAGTTCACAAAAATTTCCAGAAACTTTGCGGAACTTTCCTTTTGTTCCCGCAGTTTGCCTATGAAACTTCCTGAAATTCTCAGTGCTTCTTTTCATTCCTCAGACTCTCCTGAAAATCTCTATTGTTTCTTGAAGTCTACGGAACTTCCCTTATGTTTTCCTGATCATGTTCCTGGAATTGTTCTTCTGTGTAGCTTTCTTAATGTTTTTATGTTCATTTCCTGAAGTTTTTTTACTATCCTTAAAATTCTCGGAACTTCTTGATGGTTTCCTCTATTTTACTGAAATAAATGGAACTGCCATAAAGTTCTTGAAACAAACCTAAAGTTTTAGAAACGTCCCTCAAGTTCTCACAGTTTTCCTGATATTCATGGAACTGCCCTAACATTTTCAGAACTTACCCGAAGTTCACGTAACTTACTCATAGGTCTTTAAGCTTAAATTTTCTTGAATTTAATGGAACTGCCCTGAAGCTCTTGATCTTCGCTGAAGTAAATTTTCTTGAAATCTATTCCATTGCCCTGGAGCTGTCGGAACTTACTCTTAAAGATATTTTAACTTCCCCACATTTCTATCAATCAGAACTTCTTAAAGGTTTCAATTTTTTTTCTGATGTTAATTAACCACTTTATTCGAGCACTTAAAATGACGTTTACTACCACTCGAACTTTGAAATAAAATATTATTTTGAGATTTTTTCTTCTAGAACCTCGAGAAAAGTATCTACATTTGTGCGTTTCCTAAAAAAATAGAAATTATTTGGTCCAGTTTTGTGAAATCGCTGGTAGAAAGTCACGCCAAAACTGCTTGACATAGTGGTAAATAGATAAACCGTATTAAATTCGACCAAATTTCCAATTCAAACATTCACAAGCTAAAATATGTAATCTAGTAATCCAGATGGGCATCCGAAAATGCCTTTATGCATTTTGGTGCGCAACTTTTATAAGATGAGCATACGAAGATCGATATTTCGATCATTTTTACGAATTGACCACTTTTGTGGATGTTCCGAATCTCCAAGAGGACAGTTTCGTGACCACCAGTGTGCGCATGCTGGTCCCAGATTAAAATTCATTAATGTAGCATCACAAGTGATTTAAAAAAAAATCGCTGGTCTATTCGGATCTTCCGGAGGACCGTTTCTTGAGTACCTGGGTCTGTAGTTGGATCTTAACCTTCAATCTTCAGTCTTCGTGGTGAGGTTTATCAATATTGTCGAAAAAAAAACAATCACGAAACTCTGTGATCAATTTCAGTTCGAAGTTCTACGATAAGTTTAGCAACTATCGGTGCGAAAACCGAAAACGTAAATTCACAATCGTGATAGCAACGACCGGTGCGTAAACAAGTTACTAACTAAAATAGCAATGGCTAAAGTTGTCAAACTAGCAGCCCAAATAGCAACGCATTGGTAATGTAGATAATGTTATTATAATGTTCAACAAAGCTTATCCAGTATTTTATGATCGCTTATGGCCGCCACAATCTGGCTGAGTTTCTGGTAGGGAACATAAGATTTGAAGTTTGGCTTGTGTCGTTTGACGTGTAAACGATCAAATTTGAACGTTTACACGTCAAACGACACAACCCAAACGTCAAGTTAGTCATATGTTTCCTACCAAAAACTCAGCCAGATTGTGGCGGCCATAACCGCTCGTAAAATGCTGGATAGTACGTTTAGACTACAGAGTTATAACAACAATCAATACGAAACTAGCGATTTTAAATTGGCTCACTACTTGACTAGCCTATTGGTCCTAAGCATAGCAAGGTTATAACATAGAGGTAACTCTAAGACTAGAAGGTCCCGAAATAACATGCTCAACTTTTTGGCTCAGCTCTGGTACTCTCTTCGGCCCAAGCTAATCGATTCACCCCTCGAAACATAAGAAAAACGAATAACCCCTCATTTTATCTGTCAAACTTTCATAGCCAATCAAAACAAACATTGCGTAGTACTAGAATTTTGACTAGAATGGGGTACATTAATCGAAAAGCTTGGGACCAATAGGCTAGTCAAGTAGTGAGCCAATTTAAAATCGTTAGTTTCGTATTGATTGTTGGTTATAACATGTTATAGCGCTACCTTGATGGTGGTTTCTGTGTTGCAATTAGTTGACAACCGTTATAACATGTTATAACTCTCCAGTCTGGACAGCGTTTTAATTTAGAATATAGTATAACACCTAAACCACCGACGAACCGACAAAAACCGGCGGCTCATGCAAGCTACATTCAAATTCTTGTCCAAGACGCCAAATTTAAAATACGTTAAACACTACCGCCACCTATACTCATTCGATCGCGTCATATTATGAGCAAGGACACGAACACACGTAGAATTTATATTGCCTTGGTTTGCGTCTCACCTCTTTTGAAAGATCTGATCGCCCGTTTGACAGATGGAATCCCTCGTTTGACAAATCGAATTTTGGACAAACGAAATGTTCCTGTGGCATGTCGGTCCGGTGCCTAAACTGCCTATAATCGCATATCAGTCACATATGTATTTTCGTCAATTTAAAGATAACAACGTTATCCACTATCAATTGGTATCTACTTTCATATTACGTGATAAAATTACGGACTTTGATAATGAAAAATGTGAAAACACCATCAAGTAAGTTTGTCCAATTAAGGGAACTAATCACATAGTAATCCCATTCTGAAATTCGATCGTCCAGAGGTCAAGTTGCAGTGCTGCTGTTTTTGTTTTCCTTTGGTTTGTTTTTTTTTCCGTCGATCTTGTTTTCCGTGCTGAGCACCAATGCTACCGACGTGTCAGGAAGGCAGCTCCCACACCTGGACCCTACCTATCGACCCATCAACTCATGAACCGGGGACCAACGGCTTTACTTGATCAGAGATGTTATGCCTCAGAACATCCCGGCGGCGCCGACTGGGATTGAACCCAGGCCTGCTGGGGTGAGAGGTAATTACGCTACCACTACACCACCGGCGCCGTTCAGTGCTGCTGTTACGGATTGCCATATTTTTCGCTGATATAGCTAACAAAACATACAAGCTTCATTGTAACCTCGATTGTAACTGATTTCAACTGCCATTTCCCCCATGCAAACTTTTTCCGTATGGGACTGATATGGGATTCAGGGTGACCAGATTATTTTTTTCATTATCGGTAGCTTCTCAAAACTTTTATCGGTAGATATCGGTAGGCCGTCTGAAGGAGGCTTTCCCGATACTTGAAACCTTTGTGAGCGGGGGGGGGGGGGGGTTGTCTTTCCTTCAGTTCTTCTGCTTTAAACGTGCCGAAATCAATATTTCTAATTCTAATTCTAATTCTGACTACAAGGAAAACAACACATAGGTATTGATTATTTTTCAAGATTACTAAAAATCTGTGATTCTCGGTAGGAAAAGTGAAAAATCGGAAGTTTTTAACCTTTTGTCTGTGAATCGGTAGGCATTCCGAAAATCGGTAGGCCTGGCCACCCTTATGGGATTATAGGCAGTAAAAATCTCTAACCAGATTGCACCTTTCAACTCCTTTTTGGTCCTATTGTTATATGCTTTTGCCTAATAATTTGCTGGGTGTTCGAATCTAATAGTACCAACCAATTTAACAACTGACACTATAGTTATTATTTAGAATTATATTAACTTCCTAAGGAAAATCGAAAGGGTAGCTCTGTCCGGATCATGAATCAAAACCCTGCTCTTGCCCACCGCTGTAATAAATTTGATTTCTAAACACCTCTATTTTCCCATCCCAAAAGCAGGAATCGCCACCGGTGATTCTGTTCCGATGCGACTACTGCATGAAGATCTTCAAGTACCTCTACGAACTACGCGTGCACATGAGGATACACAACGGGGCGAAAGTGACGGAAAAGTCATCTCCGGTGAAGCCTCCGCCAGCGAAGAAACCTCGCCACCCTTCGATCGACGAGGACGTTGGTGAGCTAGAGCATGCTCCGCTGCCGGAGCATCAGTGTGACAAGTGCGAAAAGTGCTTCCGCACGGAAGAGCTGCTCCGGGTGCACATCGAGACCCACAAAATGGACGAAAACGTTACGATGGCTCGAAGCTGTAAGATCTGCCTCAAAACATTCAAGTGCGAGCTGAACCTGGTGTCGCACATGCGCAAGCATCACATATACGAGTCCTACGTCGCCGACCAGCAGCAACAGGAACAGGACCAACAGAAAGCAGCATCGGTCGAGGAGAAACCGCAATCCCCCGACAGCAGCAGCAACGAGGGAGGTAATCAGTCTCAGGGTGAATCGGTCGACACAAGCTCGACGGCGGAGGGCGGTGGATCCACCACCACGCGAAAGTGTGAAATCTGCGCCTTCACCTTCGACTGTGCCTACAAATTAGAGCAGCACATGATGACCCATTTCAAGAATAACGAAGCGGTTGCGTTTTTGCCATCGGCCGATCGGCCCTACAAGTGTACCGAGTGCCATAAGCGGTTCAAGCGGAAGGACTACCTGTTGATTCACATCCGGACGCACACCGGCGAACGACGGCACAAGTGTGATATGTGCTCAAGTGCGTTCGTGCATCCGTCGAATCTGATTACCCATCGTAAGTTGCACTCCAACGAGCGGCCGTTCAAGTGCGATCTCTGCCCGGCGGCGTTCAAACTTTTCGCCGGACTAAAGATCCACCGGAAGCGGTGTGTGCTCAAATACCTACAGGAAAACAGTGTCACGGTAGCAGACTAGGGAGGACCTTTTAGGCTAGAGGATATGTAAGATGACCGACTAAGGCGACTACTATCAGAATAGGCATAGCATGTAAGATGTGCGCGCGTTTGTTTCGGTATAAGCTGTCACTTGATTTACTTTGCAAGCAATCAAAACGTTTCTTTTGAAGTTTTTTTCTTCGATTTTTTTTGCCTGTTTGATTTGTTTGTCTTTAGAGCTATTCTCGCAGTGATTAACAGTTTCTTTTTTTAAGTTTTCTCTTCCTGTACTAGATATATATATATTTGTCTGTAATTAAACGTTAATGTCAGGTCTTCTGTTTAGGTCTTGTAGGTACGATTGCAAAATCATAACGGAAAACAAAAAATGTAACATGTAGGTTGGATAAGCGAAACATTTTTGAAATGCCTATGTTGCAAACTTTATCGTAAGTTCTAACTTTTGTGAACGGTTTACTATACAATCCATAAAATGAATAAAATTGTAAAAGTATGTATTTTAATGAAAAAAGTACAATCTGTAGGAGCACGTTCGTAGTTCATTTCGATGACACTCTTGTTTTAGGTTTTAGACTCTGGAAGACTGCCAAAGCCCTGCAGGGTTCCGCATACTACTGAAGCTATTGGAGGATGAAAAGGGTGTCTACTATCTGGAGGAACACTCTCTGACTCTCTGTCACCGGTGAGGTGACAATTTTCACCTCGTGTGAGGTGACAATTTTCACCTCGTGTGAGGTGACTCTCCATTTGATCCATTTGAACCTCACCTCACCTCAATAAATTGTCACCTCACCTGACTCGCAGAATAAGGGGATCATGTCCAAGTGGATGATTTTAACAAGTTTATTCACAGGAGTAGGAAGAGCTGCTCGTCCGGTTCTGATTCTGATAATGCTGAATTCTCACGCAACCATGCTTGGCATACACAGTTTTGGTCACGAACTGCTCATTTGCTAATAACTTTGCACACAGTTAACGGAACATAGTTCTTTTTGAAGCAGTAGATAGAATAGAGTGTAAGCTTGTTATACATATGTAAACAAAAGTAGATTTTAATGCTAGTAGTTAACTGTATTTGTTTTTACGTTGTAAAAATGAGGTGAGAAATGCTCACTACACATCTCGGAATTTAAGTGTTAAATTGATTAGTGTTGATTAAAATGCTAAGCTTTACCTAATCTTCACATATCTATAGTAAACTATGAGCCTAATCTATTAATTACTTTAAAGAAAAATAAATTTTCGATTCTCTTCATCGATTTTCTCTTTCGCGAATAACACGACTGCAAATGAATTTCTTATTCAGTGCGTTGTTTCAGGCGCAAGTTAACATCCAGGGTTGTTCTGCGTGGGGAATGAGGTGAGACGACAATTCGACTGTGAGCATGCATAAGGGCATAAACGCGATGATCGATTACCTTCATCGATTTTCTCTTAACATTGCTACAGCTAAGCGAAACAATTTTCTGGAATTTATTCTATGTAGTGTTGTAACAAGTTGTACTGGCAGCAAGCACACCGAGAAACGTTAATACAGGCCTGTGGACTTGGAGACATACTTCAAGTCCCCGCGTACATCGTACGGGTTAGGCAAAAATGTGCGTCTATCTTGAAAAACTGACGCATTAATGGCCCTTCGCTCATTTTCAACTTCTATTCAATTTTCATACTGCCGTACTCTAACGGAACTATCCACCTACCCTCTTCTAAAGATCATTCTCTAGCTAATAAATCATCACACTAAAGCTTCATGTTAGCATTTCCAACCAACTCTGAAAATCGTTAACTTCGCGTATGAAGTAACATAAAAAACACTTTGAATGTTAATACAAGCGAGTTGTTAACAAAAGAGAAACTCGACGAAGATAATCGATCATCGCGTTTACGCCCTTATGGATGCTCACTGTCGAATTGTCACCTCACAGCAGCGTTGCCAGGCCGTTTTCAGAAAAATCTGGACCAGTTAAAATATAAAATCTGGAAAAATCTGGAATGCTCAAAAAAAATCCTGTTCTTAACATAATGCTATTGAAATCAAAGTGATGTGCCAATCTCCCGTAAAATTTGGTCAGTATGATCATCTGGACTTTATTTAAAGTACTAGAATGGTTATGAATAACATGTTTAAATGAATTACTTAAAGCAAATAACTTGTTAGCATTGCTAAATCACCCAAAAGTGGAAAAGTATTGACACAGTGTGCCCAAAAAGTTTATATATCCATTACGCAGCAGTTCAAAAATTGAATTAAATGTGGGTAAAATACTGCAGAAACTGTAACTTTTTTAAAAAGAATGAGAAGCAAAGAATTAAATAAATTTGATGGGATGGATGTTTTTTAACAAATAGTCGATGTAGTCCTTACTTTTTGATGCAGTACCAGAATATAAAGATTTCATTAGTTCTAAATAATTATAATATTACCCTGAGGTTGATCTGATTTACAATTTGATTGAGCCTAACATCGTGGTACTCGCACAGAGTTTACCTAAACTACGGGTAGCTCCACTATTCGCATGACCATTACGAATAATTTTATGCCAAAGAATAATTTTATTATATTACTAAAATGAAAGTCTGATAACGTCATTTTTGAAGCCTCAGGATCTTGAAATGATTATAAATTCCGGAACTTCTATTTTTCCTGGGTCCCAGTTCAAGAAAATTTATGTTAGTCTGAATTTACTTGGAACTCTTCACAGGATATCTTCGCCCTTTTTTTCGAGTTCCATTGGAATGATCCTAGCATTTCATTTGGATTCCCCTAAAATAATCTTGATAATATCCAAACTTTGCCAGTAATATTCTAAGAGTATATAGCATTACCTCTCACGCAGAAAAAAATAATTTAAACCTAATAATATTTGACGTAAATTTAATAAGAATTTCATTTTGTTTTGGCTGCAAAATGAAATCATTATTATTTCAACAATCCAGTATCTTTGATTAAAAAACCCATGGATTGTTAAATCAAAAAGAAAATCTTTTCGAATTTACAAGAGCTTTTATGGTTTTGACGTAAGCTGTCAAATTTGGCAGCTGGGTCAACAAAAAATATGTTTGTTTTTAAAAGAGATTTCTTGTTGATTCAATCATATTTATTTTATTAAGCCTAAAAATATACGCAGTAGAAATAAAAATATGTTTATTGATTCAATTTTTAATAATTTGCGATTATTTTTAGAATTTGTTTTCTATTTGTTACCAACAGAATTACAATGAAATTAAAAAAAAACTTTCTGAGGCATAAAATCTCTCCGGTTCATGAGTTGATGGGTCGATAGGTAGGGTCCAGGTGTGGGAGCGGCCTTCCTGGCGTTGGGAGCATTGGTACTCAGTACTGAAAATAAGATTGACGGAAAAAATCAAGGAAAAATAGAAAAACTGTTTATATTTTGCAACAGCAGCATACTTACTTGTCTCTAGAGCTGAATGAAACGAGAAATTTTTTGTTATTGTTTACATTTTTGTCTGGGTTTTCACGAGGGAATGGTTGGTAATTATTTTTGCATTTATGGCCCGGGGAATTGACACAACAAATAAATGTTAAATTAAAATTAACTATTGCTGGCTTGATAATAGAATATTGTTATTTTTACAATAGTTGTAGTTGAAGAGTGGCTTATGAAAACAAAAAGAATCTTATTTTGAATTTATTTGAATAAATATTATCGAAACAATAAAATGCAATATAATTTCAACCGGAATTGTTTGTGTAAATACAAATAAAGTTTTTTTTGGTTCAATGCAAACAATTTTCTGTCCGTGCTTGTAATCTCTTATAAATTACTCTTCAATTCCACAATTTCCTCACACTGGTAATAATTCCCAAGAATTGGCATAATTTTGTGCCCAGTTTTCCCTATGAAATGCTTAAAATATTCTTAATAATTTCCTTGGTGCACTCTTCAGAATGACCGTCACACTCTTCTCAGACTTATCCGATGATTCCCTTTGAACTGCTTTGTAGGTAAGGTCAGAATTGTTTTGAAATCCTCTTCAGTATTTCCTAAGTACTCAAGTACTTTGCCAAAATGGCCTTGAAAGTCTCACAGAAATTGCGCATAATTCCGTTAAAATGTCTGAAAATTTTATTAAAATGAATCTCCATATAAACATTGAACAGAGTTCCATTGAAATTATTCTCACGATTCGTATCAGCATACTCCTTAAGTTTCATCATAAAAAATTTCTATGATTTTTCTTCCGGATTGTATTTCCTATATTCACAAAATCTCCATGCAATTGTCATCAGAGTTGACACGACAACTGACACCGTCTTCAACCAGAGGTTGTACAGAGTGAATATGTACTTATAGTTGTAAAAATAGTGACTAAAAAGTGACCTAAAAGTAAATTTTAATGAAAACTCTTAGGAGTTTCTGGAGCTTCAGAGGAAAATACCAAGGGCATTCTGACAATAATTTCATAAAGTTTGTGGTCGAAAACGACTCCGGAGCATAAGTCCTTGAAATATTTTTGAAAATACTAAAGGAGGATTACAATTAAATCTGAGAATAACTCCAGGACATCTTCAAAGGAATTCGGAAAATTAATTCAGGAGAGTTTGCCAAATAAATTATGAGAAGAAATCTAATCATTCAACGAGAGTATAATTCCAAGTGAAGGAGTGAGATTGAAAAGGAAATCTGAAATGAATTCAATGAATATTCGGAGAATCTTTCGAAAGGGTTTCTTATTGTGGAGAATTCCAAGGAAAACTAAAAGAAAATTGAATTCGAAGCATAGCTTCACCAAAATTTTGAGGAATATTTTAATGGAAATCTCCGTAGAATATGGTGACGTTTTTAGAACTACTTGAAAGTTCCCAATTTTTTCCTGAAGTTAATGAAACTGCCTTGAAGTTCTTTTGTAGTTTAAGAAACTAGCCTGAGACTCACAATACTTCTCATCAAATTCTCAAACTTCCCCGAACTTTTCAAGACTTCCTAAAGTTTCCTAAATTTTTTCAATGATCATAGATCTCCTCTAAACGTTTAACCACAGACAAACAGACGTAACTCTTCGAAAAACTTGTTCTTGAAAACATAGTATCTCAAAACATATAACCTCAGTAACGACATCTCTCTGGCTTCTCGCGGAAAACAAGCTTGCTCGCTAATTCGTAAACAATATTGCATAAAAGTTCTATAGAATATATAGAAACGTCAAAGTGATCCGATGCCAGCGCTGCGGCGAGTAGTTCGCGGAACTGATAATATTCAAATCAACCGTTAAATGTATGAACGAAGATACACAATGAAGAGTTACGTCTGTTTGTCTGTGGTTTAACAATTCACTGAAGTTCTCAAAACTTCTTTAAAATTTATGTGACTTCTCTAATGTAAACGGAAGTGCTCTGAGGTTCTTTGTTCTTTTCTGAAATTCTCAAAACTTCTCTAAAGTTTTACCAGTTCTCATGAATCTTGTTGTATTGCGCTGAATTTAATTGAACTGCCCTAAAAATGTTTAAGCTTCAGTGAGCTTCTGAACGTATGCTAAGA